AAATAAGAGATAATCACGTTCTTGTGAAACTATTTTCCGGAAAAAAAATCAAGAACCAGTTTTCCCCACTCTCCCACTAAACAGAAAATAACCGCTTCGCCGATTTGAAAAAGAGAGCTATCTCTTTTTATAATTCTAAAAACATTTAGATTTACACAACCTTCATCTTTTTTCTTTTCTTAATTTATACATTTTCCTGTAACAGTTTTGGATCACAAAGGGGTAAGGGAACGTTGATTCTACCATCGCACATCTAATGTCGCTTTGATCGTGAAAGAGTAATTTTGAGGAGTAAGCAAAAAAAATCAAGAAACTTTCCAAAAGCCATTAAAATGAGCACCGGTTATCATTGCAGACTCTTCAAGTAAACCACATGCCCACAGTTACTCATATCAATTTGTTATTATTATCCTTTTTACTCTTCACACATTAAGAGCTTCATCTTCATTTCTTTTGTTTGAGTTGAATTGCTTCTTAGTTTAATTAATAAACGTTAACATTTTTTCCTTTGAATTTTGTCTCTTGGATCACTTATTGAGTTGCGATTCGTGAATGAAAGTTAGATACTTCCATGTTTATTTTTTAGATACTTTTCCATGTTTACTTTTTTAACTCTCCAAGAATAAAGCAATTGATTTGATGTCAGGTTATTTAAGGGAAGAAGCAACTACATCACCAAAAGCAACACTAATCTAGGAGTGAACGGCATTTCGACTAACAATCGACAGTGGTAATTTTAGCTGAGTTTCGTCTTTACAACTTCAATTAACATTGCATAAGAGTTCGTAGGCTAAATATATATATATGTACTAGCATTCTCCAGTTATAATGTCTAAATGACATTTCTTTTATAAAAATTAGACTGATTTTAAATGAATATCTTCGAACATTAAATCGTTTATGTAAAAAAAAATTAGTACTACAATTGTCATCTCCTACATAATTTCTCTAATGTAAGTCAATTATAATATTAGTGATTCATTGTTGTTGTTTTTTTAAACAAGTTATTGATCCATTGTTGATACTACTTTTAAACTTATACTCTGATCTTATAACTAAAAACAAGATGAATCAAGTATTTTAGCCGTGAGTAGCACGGGAGACAATCCTAGTGCATAATATAATTAAAGTCATAAACTCTTTGCCTTGTCTTGTCTTTTAACTTAAATTATAGATTTTTATTATTATTGTATTATACATGATGAAAATTGTTTTATATCTAGGTTTTGTTACGTTAAAAGACATAGAAGAAGAATTTGGACATGGTACCGTAAAATCGAACTAAATACTGAAGTCGGGCGCGTGTCAAGTGCGAAGCGCGTGGCGACTTACCAAAACCCGCAAAACCTAGTTTTCTCCGCCATCGTGCCTCGAGTCCGCCTCTCCGGTCTCCGGTCTTGACCGGCGGCTGTGAGAGGGCCTCTTCCCAACCACCTTCTGCTTCCTCGGTCCTGGATCCAGTCGCTATCGGTTGGCTATAGGCTGCTCTGCTTCTGAGGCGAGTGACCGGAGAACCGCCGGGCTTGACGACCGCATCAACGAGTGGGGTTATCTCCGCCGTGGCCACTACCTGTCGATTGTGGTGGTCTTCCGTGGAGAACAGCTACAACCCTTCTTTGTCTCAAGTCATTTCGACGATGGATCTCGATCCATCACTCCGGCCTTGCGAGTCCGGCAACGGAGGAGAGCTTAGCGGCACTGGAGCGACGTCTGGTGGTCGCTCTCCTTCCTCTCCGGCGCTTAACGGGCTCGACAGCTCCAACTTTACCCTGATGATCCACCGCACTTGCGGTGAGTGGCCAAGGAACCACCGGGCTTGACGACCGCGTCTATGACTGAGGTTATCTTCGCCTAAGCAACCACTGGTCGATGGTGGTGGTCTTTGGTGGAGAATAGCTAATAACCTCTTCATTGTCTCAAGTCAATCGACGATGGGTCTCGATCCACCACGGTGAGAATCTGCTTGCAGAGCGTTCCTTGGCCTCGCGTCTCCGTCTACGGTTAAGAACGAACGGCGCTAGAGAGGCGTCTACCAGTCGTTCCTCTTCCTCTCCGTCGCTTAACGGAGACGGCTTCTAGGTTTCAACGGGGCTCCGCCACTCTTTTCTTTCACCGGTGTTCTGGACCTCCACTGAAGCTGCGACTGTTGTGGTGTGTCGCCTCTACGGTGGCCGGCTTCCGTCTGTCGTCACCCTGTTAGAAATGAAGTTCTTTAGAGCTAAGGTA